TCATACTCTGCTTTTTTTTCTGGTGATGGAATGGTTTCCTTGACTGAACTCGAGGTGCAGATAGGCTCCCGAGCTCTCAGGCACAGCAATGGGAAGATAAGTATCATGCACGCTATTTGAAAGTATCTAGACACATGAGCTCAGTCTGCTATTAGCGCTAGGGCTGAACACCTATTCGTACTCTGCTATTTTCTTGGAAATGGTATTGTTTTTCGTGGCTTCACTCGTGCTGCAGATGAGCTGCAGAGCTGTTCAGCACAGCAATGAAAGGGAATCATCAGGGGCGCTAGTGAAATGTATCCAGACGCTTGAGATCAGTCTGCTATCAGCGCTCGGGCTGAAAAACTATTCGTTCTCTGCTAATTCTCTAGAGATAATATGTGGCAAGGAAGCTCTACGAGTCTCTCGGCGGTAACCAAGGTTGACGGTTTACCGCCGGCGCCCAGTTGGCCGACCCGGCCCGGGCGCACAATGTGTCAACCTCGGGTTGGTTTTTCGGAGATCATGAGAGATTTCATAATTCGTTTTGGAAGCCGGTATTTTTTCGCACCTGTAGTGGGTTATGCCGCGTCTGCTTGTCAACTTCTCAGGTCTGTCGCTCCAGTATTGCTATTCAAACACTTGGCCAAACCGACTTTGGATGGAAACCAGAAAAGCGTTTTTTTTCGAGTTTTTCAGCTTGTGCATGAGAAAACTTCCTCCATATGTTCCGCAGCGCCGCGCGAAACAGAGCTCTACGAGGCTCCCGGCGGTAACCTGCTTGATTTCTCCGTATGGTGTGGAACTCCGCTAAGGATGCTGCAGATTTCATTTCTATATTGTGTACTGCTTCTCATGAGGAAATATCTTCGACGCAACGTACGTGGAGAGATCACCACATCACTACGGTTGCATGCGGTCCACTGTGGGACAGGCTCAGGACGGATGCGTCGGAGTGCCTGCGGGGTATGTTTCACTTCCAGGAGGCTTCGCAGCTAAAAAGGAGACATGTTAGCTCAGGTAGAGCTATTGGCCAGAGATGCTGGCTATTTTCTTTCTGTGAATTCTACGGACTCAAATGGTGGGAGTCCTTTGTGCCGACAGATGCTGCGTATGTTCAGTTCTGCGAACACATGTGTACACGGACGATGCTGAGTTATTTTCAGAAAAGAAAAGGGTACGGTACAACAGGTGGGGCCCTGCAGGAGGTACATACTATCACACAAAACGACCTACACACTTATGGGGCTCAAGAGGGCATTGCGGCTTTCAACGATAAACTTGCTGAACGTATTGCGTTACAAATATGAAGGAGGTTGAGTACGACCTCGACTCATTTGGGATCCCTGTGTACATTTCTGGGGACAGTCTTCTGGTGGTGTCTTGGCTTCAGGGTGTCTGGAGGGTGCTCAATCGCACATATCAGGATAGGATCAACAGAATGATAAACCAACTTGACAACATGTGTCAGAGGTTTGGAATTAGGCCTGCCTGTCATGGGAGGGAAATTGTCGACCACACATATAGGGAATGGAACACGCGTGCAGATGTACTCACTCATACGGCCCGTGTCGGGCCACCAGTGATTCGAGATAGGATAGGGCTTTACGCCCCTCAGTTACAACAGGTGTTTCGCGTTTGTGCCATCAGAGCTGGATTCGATGGTGGCGTCTCTTGCGACGGCGTGGGAGTTGGGTGCTGGATAGATGTTGGACGGATATCGAGACTTTCAAGGCAGCCGCTCAGCCATGAGATTATATGGACGGAGGTGTATAGTGCGGCATTCTCGATTGATCCGACTTCAACAGTGACTGATGCCGAGATCTCGGCCGTTGAGCATACGATTATAATCTTGCCGCGGGTTGTACAAGCGTATTTCGGACAGGATGTGATGTGATTTTGATTGTGCTCACTCACGCCTTGCCTTTGTTTGTCGTGTGTGTGTGCTTGACCTCTCATCCTCTTAATAAGAGTTGGCTTTCGCCTCTGATCGTTTGGATCGGTGAGGCTTCCGCCTACTCCCGATGCGTCCTCTCCTTGCTTCGACTAGGCTGGAAAGCCTGCACAGTCGACCGCAAAGTCCGCAAAAACCTGCTTGACGGTTTAGCGCCGGCTCCCAGTTTGCCGACCCTGCTCGGGGGAACAATGTGTCAACCTGGGGTCGGTTTTTCGTAAATTGCGAGAAATTTTGAAATTCTTTTGGAGGGCGAGTATTTTTCTCACGTGTGGTGGGATATCACGCGTCTGCCTGTGAAATTCTGAGGTCCGTAGCTGCAATATTGTCAAAAGACGTGGAGGAACCGACTTTGGGTAAAAGCTAAGAAGCGTGATTTTCATATTTTTTCAGCTCTCGAAAGCTTCCTCCTGTGTTCGAGCGGAGCCATGTGAGAAAAGAGCTCCACGAGGGTCCCGGCTCAAGGCTCAAGGCTCCGCGAACGTTCATTTTCTCCTGCCTGGGGAACCTCCGCGAAGGTGAACGTTGAGCTAGCGTGTTGTTTTGCTCTGCTTACGCAACTGCCCATCTCCCTTTACATCCTGCTTGTCATTGTTGGTCTCTCATATCCATTTCTCGTTGCGGTTTGGTGGTGGCAAATTGTATACGCTGACTTGTTCCTCACTGCCTAGAGTGGTGCTCGTAAGTCTCTCTTCTTTCAGATCTGCCTTGAGTGGATTGCATATTGTTCAATTTGCAGTATTTCATTGTTGTGATCTCTCAGGTGTCCTCACACATCTTCCCTCAGTTTTCTGCCATATACCTATCATTTGTGGTCTTGTTTGTGCCAGATGCCTCATGTGCGGAGTCTCGCATCCAGGTGTTTGCGTCGGGCTCGGGCTTGCCAACTTGGATGGGTTCGACCGAATTGTCCTCTTCCGTTGGTGCTCGAAGGCCTAGTCGCCCGTGACACGGTCTTGCATGCAGAGTTGGACGCTCAGGCTAATAAGTTGTTGACAGCATTACTCCATCTGATAGCTGCCCGAAAGTTGATTCCGTTGCACTTCGCGGTTTTTCTTCTGCTATTGATGCTGGGGTCCAGGTTGACGAGGTCGAATATCCTTTCCAAAGCATTCGAGTATTGTCAATTGATGCTGGTGTCCAGGTTGACGAAGTGCACTGTCCCTTTCAGAGCATTCGAGTGTCCTCAATTGATGCTGAGGTCCAAGTGCATTCTCAAAGCATTCGAGTGTCTTCAATGGGTGCCGGCGTGCAAACTCAGTTCACTTGCGAGGACGCCTGTGTGCAAACTCAGTTCACTTCAATGGATGCTGGCGTGCATACTCAGTTCACTTTGAAGGACGCCTGTGTGCAAACTCAGCTTCACTTTCCAGGACGCCGTCAAAACATGGATTGACAGGAGCACTGCCCAGAAGGGGTTCACTGGCCAGATTGCGCTGCAGTATTTAATCCAGGGGCTTGAATTATTCGTAGACCTCATGACAGAGCCAATGACCATCCCAAAACATCATGTATCATTTTGGTTCCATACTTTGTTCAACCTCACGGATCATGTTCAGTCGTTTCTGGGAGAACTTTTGGATTGTCTCAAATCTCACCGTTTCGTGACGGGGAAAATGGACCGTGCCGAGGAGGCCAGGTTTAAAGCTCCAGGGTACATTGTCGATTGTTTCAGTTTTGTTCCAGACGGACTCTTCGAGAGTGCCAGTCGCGCAGACCCGCGGAGACTCGCAGCAGACACCCGGAGACTACAGCAAATGTGGGAGCCCCAAGAGCTCAGAATTACGTCGCCACGTGGACGAATCGCCTCTCCGTCGGGGTCGTCGTCTGTCCGTGTCGCTTCGGATGTGATAGCCAAGACTGGACATCAAAAGTTGGTTCCCGAATCTTCCCAAAGCATTCGAGTTTCTCCCGATAACGGTGGGAGCTCTAGAGGTAGCCGCAAAGGCAGAGGCAAAGGCAAACGATAGGGCAGCTTTGAACATGATTGTCTGCATACATTACCTCTCTGTGTATTGTACGCTGTACTGTATTGGATTGTTGATTGTGATTGCCTCGCGTGGTCTTTCGATTGTTGATTGTGATTGCCTCGTGTGGTCATTCTGTGCATTGTTTGAGCTCTAATAATTCAGTGTGTGCATGTTCAGTTCTCGGCCAGGTCTCCTGGCTCTCTTGTCGTAGTTTTAGTTTCGCCTCTTCAGTGTTCCCACTGTTGTAGGGTTGTACGAGCCTTCAGCGGCGGAGCGCTTCTGCGATGTTCTCCCACAGGTTGTGCGAACGTCTTTGTTCATGCATGTTTCTGTTTCTCCAAAAAGCGGACTGCTTGCTTGACAATTTTGAGGCTTCGCTTCGCCTGAGACTTCGTTGGACCTGGCCTCAGTGGCCAAGATGGTCCCAGCAAAGACGCAACAAAACCTGGTTGACCAGAGCTTACCTCCTGGTCAGCCAGGTCTCCCCGCTGGGGTTCCCCCTCGTCTCGAGCGGCATTGCGCCGTGCGTGTGGTTTGGTTCTATTTACTGTTCACGGTTCCCCACTGGCCTGAGTACTGTGCACACTCATTGATTGACGGAGGGCACATTCATTGATTATTGGAGGGCGCATTCATTGATTGTCGGAGGACATATTCATTGGTTGTCGGATGACAATACATTTTCATTGATTGTCGGAGGACGCGTTCGTTGATAGTTGGAGTACACATTCATTGATTGTCGGAGAACACATTCATTGATTGTTGGAGTACACATTCATTGATTGTCGGAGGACACGTTCATTGATGATTGGAACTTCATTGTCGGAGGACGCGTTCATGGATTTTCGGAGTACACGTTCATTCATTGTCGGAGGACACGTTCATTGATTGTCGGAGTGCGAGGGAGAGTGAACCACGACGCCTTGGTTCGAATTCAGAGAGCCTGTCAGAGGCTGGGACAAGTTCTTGACAGAACTCGAAAGAGACTAGTGGAGAGAGTATAGTCAACTTACGTGGCGGAGGTGTCGGAGGGTACGCTACTCATTCAGGACACGCTACGTGTGTGAGAACAGACTTAGGGTAGCCAAACGTTTGAAATGGCGACGTCAGCTGATATTAAGACGTCAGAGGTGGAGAAGGATAATGAGAGGAAAAGAGTGAGGGAGGAGGTGGAGAGCGGTGGAGGAGGGACTTCGTCCAATTCAGGGGATGTATTTGCTGAGTTCAGGCAGGTCCAGCAGCTGTTGCCCTCGATTGTATCCACGGCTGTGCCTGATGCGGTGGAGGGAGTGAGGCAGGATGTTAAAACGGTTGATGGCAAAGTGACGCTCATCGACGCTCAGGTCAAATCAGTGGACGCTCAGGTAAAAACAGTACATGGCAAAGTAACGGGGCATGCTCAGAGATTGACGGACCTAGAGCCTAATATGCAAGGTCTCCAGGGAGGGTGTTCCAGTGCAGCATCGGTGGATTCGGGACCAACGACGACGGTTAGTTTCAAGGGGCCGTCGAGTTACACTCGGGACTCGAACCCATCGTATCTCAAATCAAAGGTTGGGTCCAATATTGGGCTAACAGGGAGAGAAGGGGGAAGGAGATGCTGTGCCAACATAATGGACAAACTGATCACCGATGTGCGAGGCCTTCTCAAAACATATGCGCCACAAATTGACAACATGATCGAGGAATCACTCACTAAGAATACAGACTCGGGGAGGGAGTATTTCGGATACGAACGGCTACGATTGTATTTCAAGCAGGGAACTCCAGGGGAATTACTCTTGGAGGCGCGCACTTTCCTGATGAATAATATTGCAGGTCTCAATGACCCCAGGATCGACTGGCCGCCAGGAAGTGTGAAAGCTGGGATCGAGGTAGCGCCGTGGAAGACGGAGCATGTGGCCATGTCAGGAAATATGAGTGCGATCTGGGGACGGAAGTCGCAGGCGGGGACGGTGTGTCGGGGGGAGCTGGGAGGGGGACATCACGGAACCACGACTATCTGGGCCAAGCGTGCTGATGACCCCCCTCGTGGGGCAATCGTTGCAGATACACATCTTCCCTCAGTTTTCTGCCATATACCTATCATTTGTGGTCTTGTTTGTGCCAGATGCCTCATGTGCGGAGTCTCTCATCCAGGTGTTTGCGTCGGGCTCGGGCTTGCCAACTTGGATGGGTTCGACCGAATTGTCCTCTTCCGTTGGTGCTCGAAGGCCTAGTCGCCCGTGACACGGTCTTGCATGCAGAGTTGGATGCTCAGGTTAATAAGTTGTTGACAGCATTACTCCATCCCTCTGATAGCTGCCCGAAAGTTGATTCCGTTGCACTTCGCGGTTTTTCTTCTGCTATTGATGCTGGGTTCCAGGTCAACGAGGTCGAATATCCTTCTCAAAACATTCGAGTATTTTCAATTGATGCTGGTGTCCAGGTTGACGAAGTGCACTGTTCCTTTCAGAGCATTCGAGTGTCCTCAATTGATGCTGAGGTCCAAGTGCATTCTCAAAGCATTCGAGTGTCTTCAATGGGTGCCGGCGTGCAAACTCAGTTCACTTGCGAGGGCGCCTGTGTGCAAACTCAGTTCACTTCAATGGATGCTGGCGTGCATACTCAGTTCACTTTGAAGGACGCCTGTGTGCAAACTCAGTTCACTTTCCAGGACGCCGTCAAAACATGGATTGACAGGAGGACTGCCCAGAAGGGGTTCACTGGCCAGATTGCGCTGCAGTATTTAATCCAGGGGCTTGTGTTATTCGTATACCATCCCAAAACATCATGTATCATGTTGGTTCCATACTTTGTTCAACCTCACGGATCATGTTCAGTCGTTTCTGGGAGAACTTTTGGATTGTCTCAAATCTCACCGTTTCGTGACGGGGAAAATGGACCGTGCCGAGGAGGCCAGGTTTAAAGCTCCAGGGTACATTGTCGATTCTTTCAGTTTTGTTCCAGACGGACTCTTCGAGAGTGCCAGTCGCGCAGACCCGCGGAGACTCGCAGCAGACACCCGGAGACTACAGCAAATGTGGGAGCCCCAAGAGCTCATAATTACGTCGCCACGTGGGCGAATCGCCTCTCCGTCGGGGTCGTCGTCTGTCCGTGTCGCTTCGGATGTGATAGCCAAGACTGGACATCAAAAGTTGGTTCCCGAATCTTCCCAAAGCATTCGAGTTTCTCCCGATAACGGTGGGAGCTCTAGAGGTAGCCGCAAAGGCAGAGGCAAAGGCAAACGATAGGGCAGCTTTGAACATGATTGTCTGCATGCATTACCTCTCTGTGTATTGTACGCTGTATTGTATTGGATTGTTGATTGTGATTGCCTCGCGTGGTCTTTCGATTGTTGATTGTGATTGCCTCGTGTGGTCATTCTGTGCATTGTTTGAGCTCTAATAATTCAGTGTGTGCATGTTCAGTTCTCGGCCAGGTCTCCTGGCTCTCTTGTCGTAGTTTTAGTTTCGCCTCTTCAGTGTTCTCACTGTTGTAGGGTTGTACGAGCCTTCAGCGGCGGAGCGCTTCTGCGATGTTCTCCCACAGGTTGTGCGAACGTCTTTGTTCATGCATGTTTCTGTTTCTCCAAAAAGCGGACTGCTTGCTTGACAATTTTGAGGCTTCGCTTCGCCTGAGACTTCGTTGGACCTGGCCTCAGTGGCCAAGATGGTCCCAGCAAAGACGCAAAAAAACCTGGTTGACCAGAGCTTACCTCCTGGTCAGCCAGGTCTCGCCGCTGGGGTTCCCCCCTCGTCTCGAGCGGCATTGCGCCGTGCGTGTGGTTTGGTTTTATTTACTGTTCACGGTTCCCCACTGGCCTGAGTACTGTGCACACTCATTGATTGACGGAGGGCACATTCATTGATTATTGGAGGGCGCATTCATTGATTGTCGGAGGACATATTCATTGGTTGTCGGATCACAATACATTTTCATTGATTGTCGGAGGACGCGTTCGTTGATAGTTGGAGTACACATTCATTGGTTGTCGGAGAGGACATTCATTGATTGTTGGAGTACACATTCATTGATTGTCGGAGGACACGTTCATTGATGATTGGAACTTCATTGTCGGAGGACGCGTTCATGGATTTTCGGAGTACACGTTCATTCATTGTCGGAGGACACGTTCATTGATTGTCGGGGTGCGAGGGAGAGTGCACCACGACGCCTTGGTTCGAATTCAGAGAGCCTGTCAGGGGCTGGGACAAGTTCTTGACAGAACTCGAAAGAGACTATTGGAGAGAGTATAGTCAACTTACGTGGCGGAGGTGTCGGAGGGTACGCTACTCATTCAGGACACGCTACGTGTGTGAGAACAGACTTAGGGTAGCCAAACGTTTGAAATGGCGACGTCAGCTGATATTAAGACGTCAGAGGTGGAGAAGGATAATGAGAGGAAAAGAGTGAGGGAGGAGGTGGAGAGCGGTGGAGGAGGGACTTCATCCAATTCAGGGGATGTATTTGCTGAGTTCAGGCAGGTCCAGCAGCTGTTGCCCTCGATTGTATCCACGGCTGTGCCTGATGCGGTGGAGGGAGTGAGGCAGGATGTTAAAACGGTTGATGGCAAAGTGACGCTCATCGACGCTCAGGTTAAATCATTGGACGCTCAGGTAAACACGGTACATGGCAAAGTAACGGGGCATGCTCAGAGATTGACGGACCTAGAGCCTAATATGCAAGGTCTCCAGGGAGGGTGTTCCAGTGCAGCATCGGTGGATTCGGGACCAACGACGACGGTTAGTTTCAAGGGGCCGTCGAGTTACACTCGGGGCTCGAGTCCATCGTATCTCGAAATCAAGGGTTGGGTCCAATATTGGGCTACCAGGGAGAGAAGGGGGAAGGAGGTGCTGTGCCAACATAATGGACAAACTGATCACCGATGTGCGAGGCCTTCTCAAAACATATGCGCCACAAATTGACAACGTGATCGAGGAATCACTCACTAAGAATACAGACTCGGGGAGGGGGTATTTCGGATACGAACGGCTACGATTGTATTTCAAGCAGGGAACTCCAGGGGAATTACTCTTGGAGGCGCGCACTTTCCTGATGAATAATATTGCAGGTCTCAATGACCCCAGGATCGACTGGCCGCCAGGAAATGTGAAAGTTGGGATCGAGGTAGCGCCGTGGAAGACGGAGCATGTGGCCATGTCAGGAAATATGAGGGCGATCTGGGGACGGAAGTCACAGGCGGGGACGGTGTGTCGGGGGGGGGGGGGGCTGGGAGGGGGACATCACGGAACCACGACTATCTGGGCCAAGCGTGCTGATGACCCCCTTCGTGGGGCAATCGTTGCAGATTTACACCAGCAAGAGGGTGGAAGTTCTATGAAGATGCAATCAACGCGTTGGAGCCTGGCATGGTCTGCCTGGATTTTAAGATGGAAGTAGAGTCGCAGTGACATACGGTGCGTCTTCTGCTTGTGGGGACGTGGAACATTCAAAAAAGGTCACACGATGCGGTATTTTTCCTAGACAGTTGCCTGGGGGCAGCTGGGGTCTCCTGTGTTGGGTTGCAGGAGGCACAATTCGTTTACGGATCGAGACAGAATGGTTTCTCTCAGCTGGGGTGGTATTCGATTTGGTCCAAAAATACAAATGCACGTTGTGGTATCGTAGAGCGTGGAGAGAACACCAACGGAAGACAGTGAAAGGGAGGAGGTTTGTCATTGCATTTTTCACAAGCGTTGCCGTTATATGCTTGTATCTACCGCATGCAGACTCAGGCCTGGCAGAAGATGAGGAGAACACAGGGTTTAAACAAACACTGGAGGAGGTATCGGAGGCGCTGGAAAACTATTGGAGGATGTATCATGCCAGGCCGAGAGCAACCATGTTGCTGGTTGACGGAAATGTGGAGGCCGCTCAGAATGTCATATGGGAGGGAAAGCATATCACGGGTGAAGGAGTTGAGGAGGAGAAAGAGAAAGAGAGAGGTGGAGCCAACAGGAGGAGGAATCAGATGAGAGAAGGGGTGAGAACGGATCTTATGGAGTTTTGTGCTGCGTGGAGCATCAAGCTTGTCAATGCGTTTCAAGAGCGCCAGCCGACGTGGAGACTCGCGGGGACAGGGGCTCCGAAAGTGCTAGATTACATAGGGTATCCATGCAGGGCGGACTGCAAGGATATCGCAGTTCATTGGGCGCAGTTGCCAGGATGCTCCAGCTCGAACTACAGTGATCATGCTCTTGTCTCGGCTTCGATCGACATTGGTCCCAGACAACGGAGGAAGAAACCGAAATCGAGTCGAACGGGAACGAGGTGTAATTGTAAACCGCTGATTGAGCAGGAGTACCGTCGGACTGTTGATCGTGGCATGGCACCTGTCACGTTTGAGGCAGGGGTAAGTTGCAGATTCGAGTCTGCGACACAATGTGACATGGAGTTGGAAGGTGACAGTGGGCCGCAGGAGGATGAGGGGGACAAGGATAGCGATGCGGAAAGTATGCTGGAGGACATTACTGAGGAGGAGGAAGGTTTGGGTGAGAAGAGGAGGAGGGCGAGAAGGGGGCGGCCAGAGGACGCCCAGGCGACCAGATCAACCAGATCATTGTGCAGGCCGCCACTAGCGTGCCACACAGCACAGACAGAGGGCTGTCAAGGCCAAGGAAGCCTGAGATCCAGTGGAGTCTTGAGGAGGAGATGAGGAGGCTGAGGAGGGAGGCAAAGTGGGAGGAGTGCGAGAGGATTCGGATGATTTATCGGCCACACAAACGGAGGTATCATGCAGAGTTGGTCAACCCTGCGCATTGTAGCAGAAAGCGCAGTGTACGGGACCATACGGAGATCTTGGAGGTCCAGGGTGAGAATGGGAATGTTCGTATTTCTGAAGATAGGGAAGAATGGAACCAGGAGTTGGGAAACTTTGGAAAGAACGCCGTCCAGGATGACATGTCCAGAAGGAAGAATTTTGAGGTGATCCAGGATTGTTACCACGGGCTGGGGGAGGCGGAGGGAGTCAAGATTACGCTCAGTCTTGTGCTGCAGGCCCGTTCACGCTTGCGCAGTGGTGGCGCCGTCTCGCACGACAATCTTTCTCCTGAGATGTTGCGCCTCTTACCCTGGGCAGCGGTGAGACAGGTGCAGCGACTGTTCCAGGCAATCGCAGATCGTAAGTACTGTGCGCCTGGCTCTTGGGCAAATTCTTGATCACACTCATCCCTGGGAATCCCCAAACTAAGAATATAGCGGATACCCGTGCGATTTGTCTTATACCACTTATGCCCAAATGGTACAGCCTGTGTCTTACTATTCTGGCTGAACAGCATCTAGCTAGTCTGGATGCCAGTGTTGGAATTTACGGTTTCGCTAAAGGCCGTCGGTCGCATGAGATAACGGCTGCCATCAAACGAATCGCCCAGCATGCATCATTGTGGGGGAAAGGTGGCGCCTTGTACCTGGGATCTGCCGATGTGCTGCAGTGCTTTGATCACGTCACGATTGCCATCGCAAGAGAGGCCCTGGTGCATCTAGGAGTCCCACCTGCGTTGACCTTTGCAATGCTTGAACCTCTAGAAGGTAACGAGTGTAGAATGACGTGGGAGGGTATCGTGTGGGAGGGCTGGATATCGCGGGAGCGCTCTATACGTACTGGGGGGGGTCGAGAGTCCCTTCTTGTTCAAGGCTGTCTCTGTCTATCTCTGGGACAGGGTGGTGAAGAAATGGAGGAGCAAGGGCATGGGCTATGAGCTTGAAACGCCGATCCTAGGTAAACACAAACAGATCACACATGCGCTGTGGGCAGACAACATGTACATTTTTGCAAAATCAAAGGAGGAACTCACCTGTATGATGAAAGATCTTACGTTGCCATTGGTTCGGGCAGGCTTGAGTTGGAAGCCATCATCACTCATGTACCTTGCTTGTGGCGTCCCGTGGCGCTCTGATGTCCGTAATGAAAGTATATGCGCGCAGTACTCGGTGGTGGAGGTGGCATTGCTGGAACCACAGACACAGTACGATGAACGTTTATTGCAGGAGACCAGTCTGCCGCGGGAAAAGAAAATGTCAACGCTGGGGATTATGATACACGATGAGTGGACGGACCACTATGATTTGATGGATAGCCTCAAGAAGGCGGACAGAGCCTGGTTTCATGATGCTGCTTATTACAGATGTAGGAATATGCCCTGCAGAGATAGATGTTTGAGGTCTATCAGTAGTGTTCAGAGCATTGTTCTGTACGCGTGCGAAGGAAGAACACTGGATAGGCTCACGGTTGAAAAACTACACGTGTGGGAGGGCAGGCTTTTGGCGATATTGACGGGAAGGAGAAAGAAGAAGGAGGAGGAGTGGGCCGTGTACACAAAGTCACGTTTGTTGATGGGAAGGAGGAGATTCCATGAGGCAGGTTTTCAGACAGTTGTTCAGAGGTTCGTGAAACAACAATGGGACTGGGCCATGGACGTGGTGCAGTATGCTAGACCAAGGTGTCGGCATAGGCCATCAGATCGACCAAGTGCTTCGAACCAGGAGGAGGAGGCGCCAAACAGAGGAAATCTTATTCAGAGAGCGGTGCAGAGAGCGCAAGGTAAGAGATTGTGTGTCGAAGTGTGTGTGTGTGTGTGGGGGGGGGCGCCCAGTCAAGGGATGGAGATGGGAGGGGATAGGCCTGCGAAGGCCGCGCGACAGGGGTATCAGGAGAGCCCGAGTGACACACAGGAGAGCGGGATCTGTTGTGAGGGGGTGGCGTAGGCTGTTTCGAGGGCTGCCATGTTGCACGGACTTGGGGAATGGACGTACCATCGTGATTGTCTTATCGCGTCTGAGAAGAACTGGAAGGAAAGAGCACAGATCACACGGTGTACATACGGCAGCATGAGCCACGGATATGTGCCGGGGGACTCCTGTTTTGCACAGGAGGGGGGGCCGTGCTGGTGGCGCTATTTCAAGTGGACCTTCCAGGGTTATAAAGAATTTGTGACGGACTGTCTATCGAAGCTGGGGATGCGTCATATTTTAGATTTATTCATATTTCCTGAGGAGAAGATGGGCGGACAGAGAGACGTGGAGGAGGAGGAGGGGGAGACGCATATCAACAGTAGGGAAGGGGAGAGGCAAGCCAAACGCCTTGCGGCAATTTTGGAAAACGAAACTGAGTTTGAATACAGGGATGGAGTGGCGGTGGAACTCAAAGGGGACTCAATGGCGGTGGTAAACTGGATGGGGGGAGTATGGAACGTACAAAATTTGGGGTACCTGCAAAGGGTGGCTCAAATCATTGATTGTCTGGACAAAGCTTGCGACATATATGGCTGTAGAGCACCGGCATATGGTATGGACATGGAAACACTTCTAGCGAGAAGGCAACAAACGTTCGGATGAGTTGACGTGGGAGATGCGCGACAAACCAGGTGTTTCGAGAAAACATGTAGAACGGCAAAATCTAGACTTTGAAGGTGAGACACTCATCGCGGTCCGTGGTTCATTCGACGGCGGCGTTTCCTCTATCGGTGCTGGTGGAGGGTGGTGGCTGGATGGAGAATTTGTGAGATCCAGAGACTGGGAGATGGCCAGAAGAGGTGAAAGCTCGTGGAGGTCACGGTACCGACCGATTGCGGAGGAGGCGTTTGGCCTGGACCCGCGATCGTCAGTGACAGAGTGCGAGCTTTAGGCAGCGGCCAGGCTCGCGATCATGGTCTGTGAGATTCTTCAGTTCGTTGCCGCCGAATAATATTTTCCTGTTCTCTTTTGGTGTCGCACATATCGCATGCCTATGCCTGCCTGGCCCGGTATTTGTGGACAACCTTTCTTTTGACCCTCGTTTGGAGGATCGACTTTGGATGACTTGCGTGGTGAAATATCGCTATGCTGTCGTTTACGATTTGGAGTGAATCTTGACATGCCTAAGCCACGCTGGCTCGGCACTTGTCTTCTTTGATGCCTCAGCCACCCTGGCTCGGCAATCGCGGTGCTCTGTGTTCGGGTTTCGACTTGATATCTTGGGGCTGAGTGTCGCCCACATTCTTTTCGCCCTCGTTTGGAGTGTCTATTCTGACCTCTTTCTCGGTCTTGTGTGTGATTTCGGCATGCCTACGCCACGCTGGCTCGGCACTGGTCATTCTTGATGCCTTAGCCACCATGGCTCGGCAGTGTCGTGGCGCAGTGATCTGGTGCCTGCTTGTGTGTTGGGGCTGTGTGTCGCCCATTCTCTTTTTCGGCTTTGTTTGGAGCGCGTGTCCAGCTTTGGTGTTCGACATAGACATGCCTAAGCCACTCTGGCTCGGCACGTTTCTTCTGGATGCCTCAGCCATCCTGGCTCGGCAGTCTCGTGGTACGTTGTTCTGCTTCGGACTTGATAACGTGGGGCTGTGTGTCGCCCATTCTTCTTTTTCGGCCTCGTTGGGAGTGCCAAGCACTGTTCTCATAGCGGATGCCTCAGCCACCCTGGCTCGGCATTTCTCAGACCTGATGCCTTGGCCACCCTGGCTCGGCAGTCTCGTGTGCGGTGTTGCGTTCGAATTGTCTTGGTGGGCTGTGTATCGCCCCCTCTCTTTTCGGCTTCGTTTGGAGTGCCACTTGAAGGTGTCGCTCGGACTTGCGGCCGCGCACCGTGTAGTCGGATGCCTCAGCCACCGTGGTTCGGCACGTCTGGCATGGGTTTGCTTTTTTTTCGGGTTCGTTTGGAGTGTCTGACGTCACGTGCTCTGGTGACGGGCCCCCTGTTAGTGGGGCCGTGCAGGCGCGTGCAGGGGATGGATGTGTGGCGGTCTTCCGCTGCAGTTCGTCACTCTCTCGAGTGCTTTTCTTGGTGATGCCTACGCCTGCGGGCTCGGCAGGACCATATTGCAGATGCCTCAGCCATCCTGGCTCGGCAGTGGTGCTGTTTTTCTTGGCTCGTTTGGAGCCCGCTCGCTGCCCCGCGAGGGCCTGACCGCGAGACCGCAAACCACAAAAGAACCGGGTTGTCGGTTTACCGCCGGCTGCCAGTCTCGCAGATGAAGTAAACCAGAATAGGAATAGCCACTTACACATAACAAGACATCAGGACATGCGAACACTGCAAACGACACATTCCGAATTACGCGACATCGTGACATGCGAACACTGCAGGTGGTGTTTCGCCCTCTTGGGTGTTTCTTTGTCACCATTGGGGTGGCACTACCTATTCAAGAGCACGCTTCAAAAGGCACTTCCCGCATACGTCGCAGTTCTTGGGACGGATGCGTTTCGCGGGTCGCTCCTGCTAGAGGCAGCTGTCGCAGAAGCCCCGCCGCGAGAGCTACTGCGCGCTCGACGTGAGAAACTCGAAGGCGGCCTTGGCGCCCATCGGCGTGTCGGGGGATGTCTCGAAGGTGACGCGGATCTTCCACTGAGGACCAGGCTCGTGGATAGTCTGCGACGCCCCTGTAGCACAACACTTCCGCATGTAACTCTCGGCGTGCTTCTGTCTTCTGCCTCCGCGTGAAGGGGGCAAGCTCGGCAAATCCAGGAATGGTGGTGAGGGTGACTTCGCATCGGCCATGATTGCGGAGCTGGTAGGATAGATCCTACATCAACTGCTTGGTCCAATGGATGCCGGGAAGCAGCTCGGTGAAGTCGGCAACCTTTGGGGCGGTATCTCCAAGCTTCTGGCTCAACTGCAGGGGAAGAGCTGCGGCAACGCCCTCTGCGGCGGTCGGCTCTGCTTCGGGCGGGGAGCTGGACGGATCTGCGGGCGCGCCTGTGGGGGAGAGCTTGTGCAAGCTGCCTCCATTTTTGGTCCCAGCGCTGATAGCAAACCAAGTTCAGGCGTCTAGATACTTTAAACCAGCGCGCTTGATTATTCCGTTCGATTGCTGTGCCGAACAGCTCTGTAGCTCATTTGCATCTCGAGTTAAGTCATCAAAACCCAAACCATATCAAAACAATTTACAGAGTACGAATAGTTTTTTTCGGCCCCAGCGCTTGATAGCAGACCGAGATCAGGCGTCTAGATACTTTGAACTAGCGTCCCTGCTGAACAGCTCTGTAGCTCATCTGAAGCGCGATTAAGTCAAGAAAACCAAGACCATCCCCAATAATTTAGCAGAGTACGAATAGTTTTTCAGCCCGAGCGCTGATAGCAGACTGACTTCAGGCGTCTAGATACCTTGAAATAGCGCGCCCGATGATTTCCTCCCGACTGTTGTGCCTAAGAGCTCTGGAGCTCATCTGCAGCTCGAGTTAAGTCAAGACAACCAATTCCATCCCAAAGACATAACAACTTATGAATATTTTTTCGGCTTCCGCGCTGATAGCAGACCGAATTCAGGCGTCTAGATACTTCAGACTAGCGCGCCTGATGATGTCCTCTCGATTGCTGTGCCAAGGAGCTCTCTACCTCACCTGCAGCTCGGTAAAGAAACTCATCATCATCTCGAGCTCTGGTAGCAGACCGAGTTCAGACCTAGATGCTGGAGCCGAACGCGCCTGATTATTCTGGATCGATTAGCTGCGAGGTGGTTCTGCTGTGCGCTTTTAGGGTTGTCGGCGCGGAATTGTGGAGGTCGCCGCGTCTGCGCGCGCCGCTGCCCCCCCGGCGCCGGCAGTGGCGGGGCGAAATGTGGGGTGAAGGTGGAGCACGCGTACTGTGTCGGCGACCTGGCCGTGCGCGCGGCATGTGCCATGATGGCTCTCGGAGCGTGTCCAGCGGCGCCATGCAGGGCGACGCAGGACGGCGCCGCCGCGCTTGGGTGCGTCGCTGGACCTTGCCTTGTGCGCGCGCCACGCCCGCGGCCGCGTGGCGGTCGCGGGCGCGGGAACCGCCGCGCGCGCGGGGAAGCCTCGCTGTGCGACTTCGGGGGGAAGTGCTTGCAGATCGCAGTGCCGGCTTTTCTCGGGCGCGACGCAGAACCGCGAGGGTTTTGGCGCCTGTGGGACGCAGGTGGAGCGTTGGAATCTTGAGGTGGTCGCGGTGTACCTGCGCTCCCGTTTCCTGCGCGTCCGCGTGTTCTCCGCGGAGTCAGTGGCGGCTTTCCAACCGGGGGGGCGCGGGGGGCGCGTGACATGGGCGCTGGATGACGCGGCGGGCTTTTGCGCAGGTGCGCTGTTGTGGCTTGGCGGCGGCCATGTGCGCGCCGTGGAGGAGTCAGGGGGGTCTGGCGACGTGGGGCGGGGGGCGGCTGAGAGCGCGCCGTGGTGTCGCGTCGTCGCGCGCGGCGGACCCTCGCGCTCCAGGTCGCGGTCGCCGCCCGCGGGCGCCGAGCGCGGGGCGGGCCAGGGCGGGGCGCCGAAGCGTCGCGCGGCGCGGGGTGCTGCTGCAGCGGCGCGGGGCGCTGGCGGTAGCGCGCGCGCCGGGGTGGACGCGGCTGTGTTGGCGCGGATGACCCGCAACCAGTTGGACGAGCTGGCAAGGCGGTCGCGGGCGGAGGGCGACAAAGACGTGCCAGGTTCGCGGCCGTGGAATGCTCAGCAGCAGAAGCGGGTGCGAAATACCGATGCGTACAGAGGTGCATTGGCGGCGCACCTGGGCATCGACCTGAGCGGCGTGCAGCGTGCGGGCTCCGAGGCGCGATCGAGGGACCACGTGGAGGAGATGCTGGGCGACCTGGAGCGCCGCGTGGCCGAGCACGGCTGTGCCCCATTGCAGCGCGAGTCCGCGCTCGGCACATGGGTCCACAATGTGAGCACAGGACACAACGAGTTGACCCCGCAGCGGCGCCAGCGGTTCGATGTCCTCGTTAACTTGCAGGAGGCGAGGGACGCGCGCGCCCGCGCGATGCTGGGCCGCATCGAGAAGCACGTGGACGTGCTCGAGGAGTTGCCGAAGCGAGGGGCGGAGGACGTGGTGGAAGCAGAGCTCGCGCGGTGGATCAACAAAGTGAGCGTGGGCCAGAATGAGCTGAGCGAGGGGGGCCGCGCGCGTTTCGACAAGCTGGTGAACAGGCGTGCGTGGCAGCGCCGCACGGCGCGGGAGCGCGTGCTGGCAGTAAGGGCGTTCGTGGAGGAGCACGGGCGCGGGCCGCAGCGCGACGCCCCCGACGCCAGTCCGCGCGAGCGTCTGCTTGCGAATTGGGTTGGCCCCGTGCGCGCGCGCGGTCTCGAGGGTCTCGACGAGCGCTGGCGCGCGGAGCTGGAAGCGTTGCTAGACGCGGACCGCATTGGGTTCAGAGCGCTGGAGGCGTGGTGCGCCAGGCACAAGAGGTGGCCGGCGGAGAAGGCAGAGGATGACGAGGAGCGCGGGCTCGCGAACTTCATCGCGGACCGCGAGCGGAAGGGCCGCGCGACGTCGTTCAACGCGCGCGACAGCTTCGACGGGCTGCGGCAGCAGTGCGCGCAGACGGCCGTCGCGCGCCGCGATGCCGAGCGCAGGGAGGCGGATGCGCGCGCGCTCGAGGCGCAGCGGCAGGAGCTGCTGCAGCGCG